CTCACGCTTGACGCCACAATCCTATGCCAGACATGAGCAAGACAAAAAGCCTCTGATTGAAACCACACCTGGCGCGATGGTGAAATCTACTCATATCAAATCCATGAATTTGGCTCATCCACACTTGAAACTCAAAAAACTTCAACATGCAACTCAAGGAAACATAATTACACAACATGAACAACTCATTTATAGCAACAACTTCAACATGCAACTCACATAATGATCAAATCATCAAATTCTCTCAATAAGTTTCATAAGAAACAAAAATCCCAACCTCAACATTCAATCTAATCAAATAAACTCACATAACCATGAATTGAGTAAAAATCAAGCATCATATAGCTTCACAATTCAACAAAAGCTTTTAAATTTAACTTCCTTCACCTGTAAGTCTTAAGGAATTGAAAGAGAAAAGGAAGAAGAAGATGACTTTGAGCAACTCTACACAACTACACATTGAAAGCTTGAATCTACCACCTAGTCACCTCAGATCAACTATAGAGAAGGATCAGAAGAAAGAATTAGCAAGGGGAGATGAAGAAGAAATCTCCAGTCTTTTCTCTAAAGTTTCTTAAGATTTTAGCTTATGAAATTCAAGTTTTAAAATAAACCTTATACTTCTCCTCAAGGTCAAACTGAACCTTTGCTCAAAGAAACTATCTAAACCATTTAATCTCACGAGAATTCCTAAATTCTTAGAGATTAACAACTACCAAAAAATGCCACAACATAAAGCTATTTCTAACAAGACAATAATTATAATGACCCACTATGATCCCTACACTATTGTATAACACAACTACGAGCAACAAAAAACACCTAACTTAGGATTGTAGAATTACAATTACTAGAAACATGTACATATTGCATGCATATAAACAACTATATAAATATGTGCAATATAAATATAGTAATATGGTAAATGTAAACTATACATTTCTAAGTTGTCGATCAAACAACTATATCTGTCTATACATATCTACCATCATTGGGTAGTCAACAAAATGTCCTCCAGCTCATGCACCACTAAGTGATCTCCATAGCAACACTCCAACCCTAACCATGCCCTGCTCCTATATCAAATATAGTCATCGCAATTTGAACAACATAGAAACACATAAGGGTTAGCTAGAGTAAAAAAAAAAAACATATATACAACACAAAAACATCACATCTCATCTTTAACAACACAACAACAAGGCATCACAATATACAACACAGATCAATACAACAACTTAAATTCAACACAATAGTACATTTCATCACAGTTCAACACAACATATGAACAACACATCATATGCTCAACACAACAACTATATATGTTGTCACGTATTTCAATTAGGAGATCTCATACAACATAGAGTGAGTAGTTTAAGTGGCTTGACCCTACTGAACTGATAACAGAGGGTGATTTTTTTGGACTTGCTAGATCAACAACAAGTTGGATATAAATTTACAACCCAACAACTCGACTTCTTAGATGTCCCCACTTAAATAAGCAAGTATAGTATTACTGTTAGGGTAGAACAACTAGGTACGAGCCTACCACGACATTAACTACTTTAACTAAGTCTCCTGTGAGATTAGTCCACCAACTACCCTTCAAATATCACGCCCTTCTGATACTCGATTAAGAATTAGGTTCCCCACTTTATACTTTACTCGATTGGTCACTTGCAATTAATATAGCTCGACCTGACCCCTATATTATGGTTGCTTCATACACATGTGTCTCGACCTTTTCCACACAATACCAACAAAATTCCTAAAGGAGAAACAACATAGTATCCACTTCAAGAGTCAACTTCTCAATAAAGATTTTCTAAATTGGACTATTGGAGCACCACAACACAATATCCACACAATGAGACATGCAACTTTCGAAAACCTCCCCTTTAGCTTTAAGTGGTCAACATAGTTCAATAACACGACAACATTTTATGAATTTCAACACAACAAAATCAACACACAACTTTACATCTCACAACTCATATTCAACTCTAAAATCAACAACACATTATATATTCAACACAACTACACAGACAACATACAACTCTGTCAGCACACAACTCACAAACTCATATCTACTTCTCAACTATCAACTCACAACATGATGTCTTTTTCAACAACTAACGTTCGACGCTACACATTCAGCACTTTATGCTATCTAGGCATGGAGCTCTCTGCATCGCCCACGCTTGGCATTACACAACCTGCATCCAACATGGCTAAGGTAGAGACCTTTGAGACCTCGCGTCTGGCGTGGTAAAACACCACACCCGGCCTCATCTTAGGTAGAGAGTCTCTACTCGAGTCTCGCCCAATGTCACCACCTTGGCAATTGGTGAAATCCAAACAAAAAGCTATAGCTTAGACATGTTGAGCGCTACTCGAATTTGGACCTGACTTCACCAAGTCAAAATGCTCTTAAGGTTCCCATGCTCGACGCTATTTAACCATGCCTGACGTCATTCCAACTCCAGACGAGTCTCTCTTCTCACATTCGACACCACCAATCCTATGCCTGACGTGATCGAGACAAAAAACCTTAAGTTAGAACAGTTTTTGGCGCTTTGAAGGTGCACTTGATGTCACATCAAAATTCTACACATGTAGAACTTGATTTTTGAGCCAAAACCTAAAAAGCAAAAAAAAAACCAACACATGCAACAAGGAACAACAATTCTACTCAACACATGCAACTCAAATTCATCTAAAAAACCATCATGCAACAAAAACACATAAGAAATCACCATATTCTTTTTCACAGAGCTGAACCTCTACCTTCATACAACTTTTTACCATTTTAAAATAATTCAATCATAGTACTTTGAAAACCCCACAAAAGTTCAACACTAAAATCATCCAACAACTCCAACACATAACAAAAAGAACATGAATTCTAGCTTTCTTTACCTCAGGGCAGCTCGATTCCGAGGTAGAAGAAAAGGAAGATTGAGGCTCCACATGAAATCAATTATTGGATTCAACGTTCTCATCACCCAAATCACAAAAAACGTGGCTTAGAAAATGGTTGGAAGAAGAAGATTGAGAGAAAAGGGCTCACGGACCAGAGACATTATCTCTAGAAAGTTGAGGAAAACAATTTATTAAACTCTATTTAAAATAGAAACATTATATACTCCCTTTTTAAGGGTTAAACTGGATCTTTGTCCAAAAACTCCCCTCGACACCACTAAAACTCTAAAGGAATTTTCAAATCTTTGAATCTCTTAACAGTAACAACTCAACTTAATAGTATAAAATAATTAAGAGTAATCTAACACTATCATAACTTACAGTAATACAATAATTAATAAAACTTACGGTGCTACACAAATAAATAAATAAATATGTTATTTTACATTAATTAATTAATTTATTAGTTAATCTAACTAAATATTTTTAATTTAATTTATTTAATTAATTAATTTTTTATATTTTGAGTTTGACAATTTCGAAACCTCTAGACATTAGTCCCTAGATAGCGACTGAAACCAAATTATAAACGTCAGAAATAATTTTCAGCAATTTTAAAATTAGTGATATTCAACGCTAAATTTTAGAATATAAAGACAGACGGTTAAATAAAAAAATGCTATAAAAACTGTAAAAATATTTTAATCTTGTATATCGTTTTCCCCATCAATATAAAAACATGTCATGACGGGTGCCGTTCAAGTAATGTCACAATTTGAATATCAAAAAGTCAACATTTTGAATAGACTTTGCTTAGTTTTTAAAGGTTTCATTAAAAAAATAATTATCTTTTCCATATCCATTTGAAAATTACTAAAATTAAATCAGTATTACATTTTAAAATATAAACCAAACCAACCAAGCTATTGTCACCAACCATTTCCTTTCCAACAATGTTTGGCTTGAGCATGAGGTAAACCTAGAGGGATTTTGACTTTAAAGGTGATAGGATTCGCCAAACCTGAAGGGAAATCATCCAAGTGTTTGGCCAGGACTGGACAACACATTGAAACAAAATATTTATCATCACAAACTTACATAACTCAACAAATTCATTTTTTCATCGTCATGGTTTTTTAAAGAGTAACATTTTATAAAAAGGAATAGTAAAAACATTAAATTTCATTTTTTTTTCACTTTAAAAAAAAAAGTCATGTTGACAAATTTTTATATAAACAGAGTTTAATTAAAACAAATAGACAATATAATTGTTTTATATTATTTTTTAATTATAAATCGTCTCGCATAGAAAAATAATTTTAAAAAAACAAATCTGTACACTGTTATAAATTTAGCTTTGGAAAAAAATAGAACTCAAAATTTATTCTTTTTAAAAAAACAAAAATTACGGTGAGATCAGATAAAATGATTATAAACCATACAACTTTCCTTTAAACCATTGAATAGCGTTGATTGTCGAAACTTAATCTCAAAATTATTTATTAAATTAATACAATTACGTACCGTAATAAAATCGAAAGTTATTGTAAAATAAAACAGTGTATATGCGGTAGGTGGTAGCGGAAAGTATGCATGTGCCGTTAAAAAAGGAACGTTCTGAATTCTGATTTTTTTTCTCTTTTCCATTTCAATTTAAATAACTAAAAATACATTAATTAATTACTTTTAATTTTTTAATATTTTTTAAAGGCACTAAAATTCTTAATATTTTACAAATCCAAGTATATCATAATTATTACAGTAATAAATTATTACATATGATAAAAAATAAATATTACGAGTATCTTTTTACTATACATTATTTAATTATAAATTATCATAAATTTATTAATTAATATAAAATTTTATTATTGTTATTATGATTTCCTGTAATAAAAAAAAGTTTAATAGTAATAGTTTAGTCATCTAATTAATAATATATATTTTGATTTTTATAATAATTATTTTAAAAATTAAACATAAAAAAAAAATACATTTAATTAATGGGTAACGTAAGAATGGTGTATGTAGACATAGGAAAGACATTAAGAGAATAGTTAGAGTTTGATTAAATAGTGAATGTATGTACGTTAAGAGTGAAGTGAGTAAATAAGGGAGGTTGTAGAGAGAAGGAAAATGGCACAGTCATCGATCGTCGTTACTATGAGCCAGCACATGTTTAAAAGGAGCGTGACCTGCGTCTCTCATCACTCTCGCTCACTCGGATCTCGCGCTATTCCTTCGCTTTCCTTCTCTCAGAGAAGGCCCAACGCGCCTCTCACTCTCACTCTCACCGCCTCCGTCTCTTCCCGCACCGCCATGGGTGAAACCTCCGTTCCCGCCGCCGACGCTGGCATGGACGCCGTCCAGCGCCGCCTCATGTTCGAGGACGAGTCAGTTCCTCGCTCTTTAAATTACTTCCGTTTGTTTATTTGTTTACTTTTCGATTCGTTTTTCAATTGCTTGTGTGATTGTGTCTGTTATCTGTTATTGTAATTTGCTGATTGCTACTGTCCTGCTGTTTAGCGTTTTGATTGATTGCGGATTGGTTGTTGAGAATTGGAATGCGTCCGCGTGTGCTTTCGGCGTTCTCTTCTCGGTCAACTGGTTTTGTTATTTATTTGTTTGGTGGCGGTGGATTGGAATTCGGTGTTTGTTTTGCTGGTTTTTGCTTTTGGTTTGCGATTGACTCTGATGCTGTGGCTGGTCTGTGTTGCTGAATTGGAACGGGAATTTGTTACCGCGTTTTTGTGTTTTCTTTGAGTTGAGAGTTGACTGACATGTTTCCAGAGATTTCCCTAAAAAAATGTTAGTTGTTTTGTTTGACTGGTACTCAAGCTTGGCATAAAATATTCAAATGTTCAATTTACAAACCCTAGACTGGTTGTTGCAGGGAGTCTCAAATTACGAACACCGGCTGCTACTATTGTTTTTTTTTTTTTTTTTTTTTTTTTTTTTT